GTAATCGGGACCGAGTTGGGACGCAATTAGAAATGCTAACGAGGTGCGATATCCTCACCGGATACCGCTGGCTTAGATATCAATTCCGAAGTCGTTCTTTTCTCCTCGACTCTACTGAATTTTGCGGCTCACAGTTGCGAGCCTCCATTCCGAGCGCGACGTCGAACGTTAACCCATTTGCATCACAGCTCTAAATAAGATAAATGCCCCAATAACCGGACGTTCATAAGCGTAGACAAAATTGGTCGTAGACAAAAAATACAATATATGATATTAAGAATAGTTTTGATACAAATATTTGTATTTATTCGAAAACTTGAGATTCCCTTAAGTAGAGGAAAATGATTTAAACCGATATATATATATTATTAGTGAAATATTTACACAAGTAATGAAACGCATTAATGTACCAATGACCGGGCAGTTGAAGTAGGCTATGGCTCAATCTTCGGATATGATTTGTCCCAGGGTCTGACCGCAAGTAGAAAATTAGTGCTAACGGGAAATCATATAAATATAGATGCTATCTCTTAATGAGTTTATTAACGATTGACCATTGTTTTTTTGCCAAAGGTGTCGTAGGTGCGTACTTATTTAATTAATTTTTATTTTAACACAAAAGTATCAAATTGGGTATATGTATATTCTTCCAACTAATCGTCAGATATTGGTCAGATTTTTTTACAATAATTATTACTTTCATTCATTATTATTTAAGTAAACAGTAAATATCTTTTCTTAAAGCGCTAATTTCAGAAATCGGAGACGTTCAACCGACAATCGGCCTATATCGCGCATTGGCGAAAAATCAACGTCGTCGTATTATTCCGCGGCTGGTGATAAGTGACAATCATAGTGTGCGGATTATTCCGCTTGCGGATGCAAATGGGTTAAATAGCAGCTCCATCGTGTTCCAATCCATCAAACGCCAAATGCTGTCCGCGTTTTCGGCCGTTCGACTTGTCTCGTTGTCGAGGCTCGCTTCCGACAGGCTCGCGTTGATACTTTTGTACCACCTTCCTGCGAACCCCTAAGCAACCCCCTAAGTCCACACTCAGTCTCGATATCGCTACCCGATCCCGCTCGCGGCAAATACGAGGCGGATTAATGCGACACGCGACGCGACGCGACGTAGAAATACATAATCCGCGTATTTTCGCCGGCCGGCGCGGATCTCCCGCGTCTGCGTGCTTAATCGTGAATAATCTGTTTCGCGAAAATAGAAACGTCTACATTTCCCGCCGCCGCGCGCGCACGGCGAAGTGAATTTTCTTCCCTCGCTCAGCTTCTACTCGGAGCGCGGCGCGCGAGCTCTGCATAACGTCTACTTTATCCGCGCCTCCGCGAAATGTGCGCGCGACGCGACGCAACGCGCCGCCCGTGCGATTTTTTACGTTTTCTAATATAAATGCGCGGGCGCGCGCGCGCGCGGGTCGCGATGAAAATTGGCCGCGCCGCAGCCGGCGAGATGAATTCGTGCCTCTCGCGTCGGGAATTGCGATACGCGCTAAATACATCGCCGGGACGCGGAGAGGCGGGCGAGCGAAGGATCGTATATCACAATTTAGCCAAAAGCGCGAGCGAGCGAATCCGCGCTTATCCGCGGCGCGTTTCGCGAGAAACGTCGGATACATCGGAAGTGCGAGTAGGTATATCCCGTTCACGCACGTTTACAAAGGAGCTCTCGCTGATAATCCACGCGCGCGCGCGCACGCTCGTCGCCCGTTTATTCATCGCGATAGCCTCGCCGGCTGCGCGTCTCACCGGTTCTTTCCTACCCCTTACAAATTCCGTTCCTTTTGAAAACGAGAGGGAGAGGGAGAGAGAGAGAGAGAGAGAGAGAGAGATCCAGCCTGTCCGGCAACCGCGGAACCGTCAGTGTTGGTACGACTTTTTCTCGTCTACCTTTTAGCGTCCGGAGGAAGCGTTCGCTCTCACTCGCGCAGTTTCGCGGCCTCGAAACCTCGAAGTGGAACCCTCGAGAAAATACGTATCGACGTGTGACCGTAGGGTGTCCTCTGCGACGTACAGTGCTGCGCTCTCTCTCTCTCTCTCTCTCTCTCTCTTTCTCCCTCCTTCCCACCCACCGTCCGTCCGCTTTTCCAAGCGGCGGGCGATACGGCGGCGTTCGCAATTTACAGCGGCGCAAAACGATTTCGAGGCGAGGAAGAACGCAGCGGCCGCGTATGGATCGAGCTTTGGAGGCGGCCGCGTGCGCGGATCTCTTTGTGCTCCTCGTCTCTTCCTTCTCCTCCGGACGGCCTCTGATACCCTCGCCTCTTCCCGACCGCCCCCTCATCGCCGCCGCGCTCTGCCGTCCCCGTCCCCTCCGCCTCGCCGCAGCTTCGTCCTGTCCTCACGGCGAGTCATCTCGTTTAGGTCGTGCTGGCAGCGGCGACGGCGGCGGCGGCGGCGGAGGGAGGAGGAAGGGGAGGGGGAGGAAGAGGCGGCGGCGGCGGCGAGGAGGGCCGCGAAAAGAGGCTGGGTGACGGCAGGAGGAGAGGAAAGGGCCGGTGAGCCAAGGAACGAGGAGAGGAGTCGAGAAGAGAGGCGACAGGGTCGAGGGAGAGTAGCTGCGGGACAGAAGGATATATGGCTGTGTATTATGTACTTGGACCCGCGTTACATACGCCTTCCTTCTTCTTCTACATAGCAAGCGGGAGAGCAGGTGTATGTGTGCGCGCGCGCGCGTGTGTGAGCGCGCGCTCTGCACGAGCGCCGAGGAATATATCTCTCGTTCTCTTCTCTCTTTCCCCTCCCCCCCTCTCTCTCTCTCTCTCTATCTCTTTCTCTCTTTCTGCGATGTGTGTGTGCGCGCGCGAAGGCTCACCTCGCACGCAAGCGGAGCTCTCCTAACCAGCTCGAATCGAAGATGTGCGGCGGACCTGGAATCACGCGAGCCGCGTTAAAAATGATCCCCGCGGCTGGACGAGAAAGAGTGAGAGAAAGAGATAGATAGATAGAGAGAGAGAGAGAGAGAGAGAGAGAGAGAGAGAGAGAGAGAGAGAGAGAGAGAGAAAAGGACCCGAGGATCGCGGCGAGAATCCGCCGTGAACGGCTAAACGAAGGAGAAATTCCGCGCGCGCGAGGTATTTCCCCTCGATGATGAACGCCTTCGGGACGTCTTATGTGTCGTTATGTAATATCGTTTGTACAGAGAAAGAAAGAGAAAAAGGGTGAGGGAGGGAGGGAGGGAGGGGGGAGAGAGAGAGAGAGAGAGAGAGAGAGAGAGAGAGAGAGAGAGAGAAATATATATATTGCCGGTGTGGATAATTTGAGCGCTGAGGATTATATAGATCCGGACGATCAAAACGAATCTGTCCGAAGTGGCAGGATAATTCCGAAAGTGAGATTTTAATAACTAACTCGAGCTAATTTGCTCTCAGCACGATGAGAGTCAGAGAAAAAGGGAGAGGGGGGGGGAGGAAAAGCGTGCGTTTAACGATAGTCACCGTCGGGTGTTAACGCTACGTTCCTCATCACTCTCTGTGTGTGTCTCTAATCGCAACACGATACGTACGAGCCTGCGGTTATTTCCAAAACATGTTATTGCGCTATTCGCGAATGTACCGCGCGTTAATGTCAGGCGCGTAATAATGCGTGCGACATCGAACGGCGAATAAAAATATTCGAGTCACGTCAGGTGTGCGTAATGCGCATTAATATGTCGAACGCGCCGCGACGACGACCGAGGGAGGATCATTTCTCTTCTTGCGGCGTGATCCGGAATTATACCGGGACAGGAAGCTGCGGTTTGATAAGGTCGTACCGCGAATTCTCTCAACGATAACCGCGCGTTACGTCGCACCGTGCGTGTTTTATTCACCGACCAATCGTTACTTCTTATTTAAAATTTATGCGGTATTAGCGGGCCTCCCCCGATCCCTCTCTCTCTCTCTCTCTCTCTCTCGGTCGCGCGACGATCGTAATCATCGTGTCATCGTCCGACACGGGAAATTTTACAACGCGTGAAATTTCGTGAAATTCGATATTATGTCGCACGATCGCGAATCCGAGCGCAGCTCGGACGGACTTTTCGTTAATTTACGAGGCAAGCAATATCTTTTTCCAATATTTTTCTTCACATTGTACGCAGTCGCATAAATCGCCGTCGGGGCTTATCAACGATCTCTTTGCGGCAGCAACGTACAAAAAATATCGGGGATCATAAATCGTGACGCACGGGTAAAAAATAGCGAGGGATGTATAGATTTTTTTTTTTCTTCCGTTTGCAACGAGCGCTAACGTCTTCTCGTCGCAAAGTGGCTCGCAACGCGCTCTGACGAGGAATAGGCGCATCCGTTGGCGTCCTTACACCGCGATGTTCATTCGAGCTTCATTCGATGTTCATACGTAGCGGTAGAGGATAAATCGAACCGCGATAGGAACCTGCAGAGTCGGTGTGCGACTCGATTGATAAGTAAACGCCGTTGAGTACTACTTAATCCCGCCGTTCTTCGTCGATTGATTTTCAATTCAGTTGTGGTGATATGATTTATGACGACGTAGTAATCTCGTTCTCTATCGTTTCTTTTTTTTTCATAACGGGCTTTTTTTGCGCATAATCTCTTTAATTTAACTCAGTTTTTTCCTGTGTATAAACGTATTTATCAACGCTGAATCAACTTTGAGCGAGACATTGTACGGCTTTTTTTTCACACCGATAAAATCCATCTCAATTATTGTTATCCAGTGAACAGCGGATTAATAGGGTCAATGTCGATTCCATTTCTTTTAATGTAGCCAGATTTACGTATGCAGAGATGAATGCGTTGATTTTAAGATGTATATAAATACAGGAAGGAAACAACATTTCTTATTTTATATATTAAAACAGATCTTATCGTAAAATATTAGAAATCGTACAAAATAGTGCAAAATAGTTAACTAATAACGAAAGATGGCCGCTGAAGAAAAATTGACGGAACTATTTACAAGCAAAAAAGAACGATTTATCGTGTAGATACACAGACAGTTGCACAAAGAAGTCTTCGACTTAGGAATTTAGATATTTCTTTTATTGTCATTGAATATCAAAATATCATTGAATATCAAAATTCGTCGATATGGCCGTAGAATTTCACAAACCCTTCTTATTCCCTACCTATTCCCTACTAAATATTATTCCCTACTAAATATTATTCCCTACTAAATATTATTCCCTACTAAACGTTTGTACCCACGTTATTCCTCCCACATACCACCAAGAAGACGTTCTCTCTCTTTCAAACAGTCAGTTCGTCGAAGCGGATTTCGCAAAGTGTTTATTTAGAAAGTTGGCCAGCGACATATCGAAATTAACATATTATTAACATATCGAAAATGCAACAGGATCCACTAACAAAATTCAGCTGCAGATTAGCGGCCAAATGCGAGCTTCGTCCGATAAATCGCGTTGGCGCGCGATTCGTTGTTACATTGTGTTATTCCGAACAAATGCGCCGCCAAATCATTGGCTATCATTGTCAACATTTCGTCGCCCCTCCCTCCCCTTTTCCTCTCTCTCTCTCTCACTCTCTCTTTCACTTAGGATATAATACGATCTGACTCTTCTTCTTTCCGAATGATATCCACGCGATAAGGGGTAGGTACCGCACGAAGAAGATGGTCATAAACGTAATCTGGTTGATGAAAATTTTCAGTATTGGTCCAATGTACGGCACAACTGAAACAAATTCGACATGTGAGGCTGCGCGCTGACAACACAATAACATGAGGCGTCGCGCAAACGCGCACGATACTTACGTAACAAACGGAAAACGATTTCGTGATATTTCATATTGAGCCAGCTGTACCAGCCAAGCGGTACTTCCCCTGAAATGTAAATTGAGGTCTCTCTTTAGCTCTTTATGTACTCTCAATGTACAGCCGAATACTCTTTGCACGGTCTTAATTCAGCTAACGGTGACGAGTGTAAGCCGTCGCGATGGTTTCGCGTACACATCCGCCCATAGCGTTCTAAGGATCGAATCCGCGAATACGAAGATATTTACATCGCGATACGCGCCACGATATCGCGTGGGTCGTTAAAAGTTTCGCCGGACGAAAGTGTAATACGAAGCGAGGCAAGAACTGTGAATGATGATCAAGGTAAAAACGGAATACTCACGTTTGACGTTGTAGAACCGATACGTAAACGTCAGTAGAGTCTCTTGGTTTACACTCAAGTTGCCGTACCACAATCCACTTAACATGGGCTCTAGCAATTCGTCAAACTCTGGGGATGGGTCGCTTAAATATTCGGAAAACTTGTCTATGATCATCTGGAGCAATTCGCGCGTCTCCGCAACACTCTTGCGGCATATATTTATTCTGTCAACAACAAGTTACGTTTACGAGGTGGGATAATTACACCTCGTATTCGTCGATAATTACGTCGATAATTCGTCGATATTTACGAAATTAGTCTGCACGTTATCTCTCTCTCTCTCTCTCTCTCTCTCTCTCTCTCTCTCTCTCTCTCTCTCTCTCTCTCTCTCTCTCTCTCTCACTCACTCACTCACTCGTTCGCTTGTTGCTATCGTATGTACATTACCGGTCGGAAATTCCCAATATGTGGCCCACTACACGCCAGAAATGAATGAACGCCTTTTCTTCTTCTGGTTTGAAGTGCACGCCGAAAGATTCAGACATGCACAGAAGATGACCTATAAAAGCGAATTGCGTGATCGCCATATCCTTCTGATAGATAGCCCCGGAATTATTTTTCTTCGCTTTATTGTTGCCCCAAGCATGTTTAAAGCGAATAGTTTTGATTGCCTTGTAAAATCTGCAAAAATATACAGAGATGTTGGAAGGAGTGAAGGACTCTTTCAGTTGGAGCTTCGGCGTTCGCACGAAATATCGGGTGAAGCTCGATTCCAGTTCCCTCGAGCGTAAGCGTATTTTTTAATCTCCTTTGATCACGACTGAAGGTAAAAATGTGAAAACGTGTAAAATGCTATGAGAAATCAACTGATTGTACGATTGATGCGGCGATAGACTGAATAAAGTTACGCGGAGGAAATTCCCGCGAGAGAGAATGTATGAAGAAAGTCTGTAGGAACTTACTTGCTCTCTGGATCACCCATATTATACGTGTGCATATCAATCACATACAACATAGTTCGATAATATCTCATGTATGCTAAATACGGCGTATTGCCTTGTTTCGTATGTGAGAGCACCTGTTGAAAGATGAAAAAGAAAAATGATACAACTCTTTCTCAGTTGTTCTCTATCATTAGGAGGTTGAATTAGTTCTGGTCCCTAGTAACGGATGGTTTTAGTAACAAGTTAATGGTTAGTACGAATGTTGAAATCCGGCAACACAGAAAGATTTGACATTTCTCTATGACATATAACAGTTTGCACAGTATTGTTACTGATAGTTTTATTGTTTGTACGCGTTCAAAATGGATCGGTACAAAATTGTATTTTCAACATTCATTACTTTTTTGTTTGATTTGAAAAAAATCGGCAACTAAAGCTCAATGCTAAAATGCTTGTTACAAGCATTATGGTGATCAAGCTCCATCGTATTCCAACTGTAAATTTTGGTTTCAACGATTCAAAAGTACTGATCAACCAAAAAAATTCGAACATTCTGGATTGCAAGCTGTATCGGAAAAATAGATTCGATTTATGAAATTTTTTTGTTAATAACTTTTCAATAAACAATGAGCGATGAGCTGGAGCTTTTTGAAGGATGACCTTGATAACATATGTCAAGGAAGTTGGGTCAAGTTACAGAAGCTGCGCCCCTAATATAAAAAAGGTTTACTATAATATTTTATCCTTTTTTTATGAAATCATATTACGACATCATATTCATCATAGTTGAACAAATATCACGATGTTGAAGAAATGTTGAAGATGTCGAAAGAAATAAATATACAAGTGTATTTATGTTCATTTCAACTCGGATTTTTGCATACATTATCAAAGAAAGTTCAAATACCTTTGATATCGATGGAATTGCAAATAATATAATGACTCCTATAGTGTTCGCAGTTATAAAAGAAAATATGTTCCGCAGACAAAAATCTTGAGACCTGAAAATAAACGTAATTAGTACAAATTATTTAACATAACATTATGTCACACTGGTTGATGATAACACTGCAGAGAGTGTCTTATATTTGTAAGTGTGAATGCCCTTACAGTTTGCACAACTTTTCGTCATACCAGTCTGGTAAATCTTTGGGTGTTACTTCGTAATGTTCATAGTCAATTTCGCTGACATCATTCATTATTAAATCATAATGTTCCTTTACCGTTGCCGGTTGAACTGTAATTTAATATATTATGTAAACGTTTCATTGAGCAATTTATTTATCGCTTCATGACTTGTTTATCTGTCTCTATCACTTTCTCTCTTTTTCGCACTTTTTATTTTATATACTAAATGAATGCAAAAGTTTGTGCTCGATTCCAATATCATTAGGAAAATTGTATAGCGCCATTAATTGTTACGTGTGCGTATTGTAGTACATCGTTGGAAAAGTGGTGCATTCAGTTGTGATTTGAGCGAAAAGCTCGTGTTTTGATTGAATTTATGTTGTGAAAAGATATTTCGAAAATAAGCGAAGAAGAGCTGCATTTACGGCGTGTTATGCTTTATGAATTTCAGAAGAATGTAGCAATTGGAGTCACCGTAAAAAACATTTAAGATATTTATCAGAACCGTAGCGTCAACAGTTCGGACTATAAGAAACGATTTTCGAAATTTAGTAATCTCACCGTTATCAATATGTTTCCTCATTATCTTCTCCAAGGTAGTAGATGATTAAATTTGCAGGCTTTATAGAATTTTCAGTCAAGAATGTAAATCGAAGCGATGTCCTTAATCCTTATCAGGCACCACACGATAATGTATATCTATGAAAATGCAACTTGTTTTACTTGCGATATTTTCTAGAGTGTTTTTCCATTTTGTTCGGGGTCATAGCGTGCACAACGGTTTTCTGGAAGAATCTAAATATTCTTCTAGCTTCGACCTCACGATGCTTGCGCGTAATCCATGCGTGCTCGGCTAGCGGAGATCTCGTCGCCGAACGTTGGGCCACGAGATCCCCGGCGAGGAACGATCAAAACAATGTTTATTCCCGCGTATTCGCCGTGTATGTCGGGCAGACCCCGAGCATGCGATCACGGCGTGTTACGGCCAACGGATTGCAGCCAATCCTTATCTGCCAGCTCGAGCTGAAAAAGAATATAATTGAGACCGAAATTTCATCTCGCTCTCTGCGCATTTGGGCTTTCTACCGAGCGGTCTTTATTTTTCGATCGCAACAAGCGAGCGCGATCTTCACTCGTTCTCTATTCGCACGATCGGTGCTTACTTCGTCGTGCTTACACTCGGAGCGCTAAAACAAAAATGGAAAAAGTTCTGGCCGATTTTCGTCCCTCGAGTCGAATATTCCCATGTCTCTCGGATCGAAAAATTTTTTCGGAAATCCGACGTTTCATTCAGAGTTCTGGTTAGCCCCTCACGAGTTCTGAAGATTATTATTAACATTCGATGCGCTAAAACCAAAATTGAAAGAGTTCTTGCCGATTTTCGTCCCCCGAGTCGAATACTTCCATGTCCCTCGGATCGAACATTTTTTTCGAAAACCCGACGTTTCATTCAGAGTTCTGGTTAGCCCCTCGCGAGTTATAAAGATTATTATTAACACTCGGTGCGCTAAAACCAAAATTGAAAGAGTTTGTAACGGTAACGCCCGGGGGGACCGATCGCACCGATCGGTCGCACATCGTCGCGCCCGCGACGCTTCGCTCGCCGCCGCGCTGATGCGTTCCTCGGGTGAAGGAAGGAAGGTTTGCTTGAAAGAATTCGTACTCGGGTTCCGTACGGTGTAATATTTAGTGCGCCCCGCGAGGCGCCCCATTTGTTTAAAAGATGTTCCATTCTATATATGAGTGTATGTGGGCAGGCTCGTTGGTACGGTGTGGCGCCGACGATGCGCGTTCCTCCGTGCTCGTGATCTCCCCGTTTAGCCGAGAGGAACGGTTCCTTATCCGCGGGGTCCGAGAAGATGTCCCGCTGCCTCTTAATGATCCGTTGTCCCCGGCCACGAGTCCTGTTGAGGACGGTTTACGCCAGTTGTTCTCTAGATAATTTGGAGATGGGTTATTCCGGGTGGCTTACCGCGGTCAAGACTGACGAACGAGCACTGTCACTTCTTCACACCCCGAATGTGGAAAATTTGTCTGTGTCGGTGGCTAATTGCTGCCGACGCAGACGGACGAGTACTTATAAATCCGCGAACAGATACTTAGAAATATTCTGTGTCGGTGGCTAACTGCTGCCGACACAGACGGACGAGCATTTATATTCGCGAACAGAACTTAGAGAATATTCTATGTCGGTGGCTAATTGCTGCCGACGCAGACGGACGAGTACTTATAAATCCGCGAACAGATACTTAGAAATATTCTGTGTCGGTGGCTAATTGCTGCCGACACAGACGGACGAGCACTTATATTCGCGAACAGATCTTAGAAACTATTCTATGTCGGTGGCTAACTGCTCCCGACACAGACGGACGAGCACTTATATTTGCGCACAGGAACTTCGAAACTATTCTATGTCGGTGGCTAATTGCTGCCGACGCAGACGGACGAGTACTTATAAATCCGCGAACAGATACTTAGAAATATTCTGTGTCGGTGGCTAACTGCTGCCGACACAGACGGACGAGCACTGGTATCCGCGAACAGAACTTAGAGAATATTCTATGTCGGTGGCTAACTGCTACCGACACAGACGGACGAGCACTTATATTTGCGCACAGGAACTTCGAAACTATTCTATGTCGGTGGCTAATTGCTGCCGACGCAGACGGACGAGTACTTATAAATCCGCGAACAGAACTTAGAGAATATTCTATGTCGGTGGCTAATTGCTGCCGACGCAGACGGACGAGTACTTATAAATCCGCGAACAGATACTTAGAAATATTCTGTGTCGGTGGCTAACTGCTGCCGACACAGACGGACGAGCACTTATATTCGCGAACAGAACTTAGAGAATATTCTATGTCGGTGGCTAATTGCTGCCGACGCAGACGGACGAGTACTTATAAATCCGCGAACAGATACTTAGAAATATTCTGTGTCGGTGGCTAACTGCTGCCGACACAGACGGACGAGCACTTATATTCGCGAACATAACTTAGAGAATATTCTATGTCGGTGGCTAACTGCTGCCGACACAGACGGACGAACACTTATATTCGCGCACAGGAACTTAGAAACTATTCTACGTCGGTGGCTAACTGCTGCCGACACAGACGGACGAGTACGGTAAATTCGCGATGCCGGTCGATTGACGAGGCTCGGCTGCCGGGTCTTGTAAAATTTCCCGGTGATTCGGTACGGTGCTTGGAAGCTTTACTCACCGGCGGATGCCTTTGCCTTCGTCGACTTCTCTTTATGATTCTCGCTGGAGCTCTTCTTGGTAGCTGATCCGACTGATTGACTGTCTCTCACGGTCTGCCTCGATCTCTGCTCGAGGGCGGGTTTTATACCCTTAATTCCTCTCGACGGTGGCCAATAACCGGAGGATTTCTCGGAAATTCGCGCATACGATTTTCGCGAATTACCCCTTCTGGGGAACCGATCTTTCCCGATCGCTTCGCCGAATTCGGCTTTTTCCGGCGATATGTCGGGTTGCCGCGGCACAGGTGTTCAGTGCTGCCGGGGACGCGCGGCGATCATTTCTCGCGATCGTGTGACGATCGGTGGTCGCCGCCACACGGTAGTAACGAGGGTAAAATACTCCTCGTTACAAGTTCTGGCCGATTTTCGTCGCTCGAGTCGAATATTTCCATGTCCTTCGGATCGAAAAATTTTTTTCAGAAATCCAGTGTACTGGGTACGTCGGACTACCGAAAAAATTTTTTCGTTCCGAGGGACATAGAAATATTCGACACGAGAGATCAGAACTGTGAATGGTACGCCGGATTTCCGAAAAAAATTTTCGATCTGAGGGACATGGAAATATTCGTCTTGAGGGACGAAAATCAGCTAGAACAATTCCAATTTTGGTTTTAGCGCGCCGAGTGTTAATAATAATCTTTAGAACTCGTGAGGGGCTAACCAGAACTCTGAATGGAACGTCGGAATTCCGAAAAAATTTTTCGAGCCGAGGGACATGGAAGTATTCGACTCGTGGGACGAAAATCGGCCAGAACTCTTTCAATTTTGGTTTTAGCGTTCCGAGTGTTAATAATAATCTTTAGAATTGGTGAGAGGCTAACCAAAACTCTGTATGAAACGTCGGATTTCCGAGAAAAAAATTTTACGTGTTTAATAAACAATCAATTTTTTTGAAAATCCAATGTTTTATTCAGAGTTCTGTTTAGCCCCTCACGAGTCCTAAATATTATTATTAACACTTGACGCGCTAAAACCAAAATTGGTAGAGTTCTTGCCATTTTTCGTTTTCTAATTCGAGAATTTTTAATATAATTTTTCTTATTGTTTTAAACAGAACTATTTTTAAAACTTATCTAGAACTATAGAACTATTAAAAGTCTATCTAGAACTCTAAAAAAATTTGCGTTTTTTACATAATGAAGGGCGTCGTGAAGTTGGCCTTCCGATTTTTAAAATACGAGTAGTATTTTCTCTACTTTAAATGACGGAACTCTTTTTATAAAGGTTTGTGAACTCTAGAACTCTGCGAGGGGCACTGAGAACTCTAATAATTTTTTTCAAATTTGAAGAATGAGGGGCCAACTTCACAGAGGTTCGCTGCCGTCGGCCGGTCACACACGCGAGTCGCGTTGGGCTGATACCGCCCAGTACAAGGACGCGAGGACGGTTCGGGATCTTTAAACAAGGAAAATGACAGTAGACCGTGATAGTTTATAAATCTTGCATTTATGCTTTGAGACGCGACACGATTCACGCAAGGCAGCACATCAACAGAGTCCACGACAATGACAGTTCTTCATTCAATTCATAGGGTTATCGGCGCCGAGCGCAACGGCTACCGAAACCGTTATAAATATGGTTTGCGATGATCGTCGAACGACGGTATCAATTCCGCGCCGACTCACGATAACACGGACGACGTGAAGCTCGATCGGGAGACGGACTCACGCGAAGCACAACCGCTTTTCGTCACTCGCCGAGTTTGCGGCGCGGCAAACGGATCAATAATTCGAGTCCGGAGAGATCGCCGATGAACGGCGTGATCCTGCAAGTGGGTAGCAAGCGGGATCGCGAATCGATACGCGCAATGCTACAAGTACCGGAGAAAACGGTGATTATCGTCGCTCGCCTCGTGATTTGGCTCTGGCTGTTGTCGACCTACCCACACGCTCCTCAACGCGTGCGATCGATCCGCTCATCGATCCGCGTTGCGCAGATATTAGCATTTTATGGCTAATTGCTTCCGCGCACGCATGTCACCAGAAACGCCGAGCGGATTGATGGCCCCCTCCGAGCGCGCATGCCTTGTACAACTCATGGGCACTACGATCCAGCACTACGAAGCCACGCGAAAACGCGCGAGAGCGACGCACCGGCGAGCACAACGTCGGTCACGCGGCCAACACGATCCATCGCACATGTAGCGCGGTGTCGATCGCTTATTTGGCTAGCTAGCGACAAGCGTTATCCATCCGCGTCAAAAGCGAGCACGCGTGCTTTTTTTCTCCAGGACTTAATTAAGGCGGTAGTGTTTATCTGATTGGAGCGAATGACGTATTGGAGTTCGCATCGATACGACCGATGTCACGCCGGGTTGATATGCTAATCACAATCCGCTCGAGGCGAAACCAATTTCACCTTTGCGTAAACAGAACGTGATAAAGAACATTTTGGTTATTCATTGCTTTGTTGCTTTAATACGGAAATAATGAGCGGTTATTAAAGCTTATTCAAGCATCTCGGAAACTTATTCTGAATCTGCTTCATCGGTTAAAACATATGAATATTGGACTTTTGAGGATTCAAAAGTGGTGATTTTCATTTGAAAAACAAAGAATATTCAGGTCAACAAAAAAAGTTCGAAAATGCCGAATTGCAGGTATTGGGAAAACTCATCTTAAACGATTCAAGAATTAAACGTTGGTAAATCAACCGCCTCTGATCGCTTACACGTAATGAGAAAGAAAAGAGGGCGAATGGGTTCCACATGAATTATCCGAATTAGCTATTTACAATCTTTCAATTATTTGCACATCCTCGTCACAAAAAAGAAGCAATTTTTCTATCAAATTGTAACTATTTCGGCTTTGAAGTAAGCGAACTTACTGGCAAAGAACGATGCTGCGCAAGAGCGCAAAGGCTCACGTTCTTAAAATTTAAGATCCCACGAGAACGAAAGTTGTTACTACGAAGACTACGAACTACGTGTTACTACTGAACACTACGAAGACTTAAAATTTCGACATGCACGAACTGTTTGCTTGTCCGACTTAAGTGCGAAAGGAGACTGATTTGCGGCCCGTGACTGATTTTAACTTCTTATATTCGTACTGAGAAGTCCCCACTTTACGGACTCTCCCAGAATAATCTACACGACTTTTATTCCCACTGTGCGAGAAACTTAATAAAAGACTTAATAAAAACTCATATGAAAACATTGTGAAGGAATTATGAAATTCTTGTTAGTGGGTTCGAGGAAAGAGAGACAGAGAGATTTCGCTAACCTTTATTCGATATAATAAACGTACGTTTACAGGGTGTTTCAGAAACAGATAAAGAAATAATTAAGAGACATAGCGAAAAAGAGTTGTAAACTCGTTATGATACGTAAATATCATTCGTACTTTGGCAAGGTTAAGACCTTGGCAGACCGAAGGGAAGAAAAGGGGTGCGCAACGCAAGTATCATTATCGTTAATAGTGTCATTATCGTTAACGAGTTGCAGATTATATATTTTGGAGCTATAGCAATATTTTTCAACCTCTTGATGTCATGACTCGCGCTTACAATCGCTTCTTCTATCGAGATAAGGCAGTCAAACCGTGAGCACTAATCCATAAGAAACTTACCTTATTTAAAATAAGGTTAAAAAAGCGCCAAGTGCACGCGACTCGTACCAATAACTTTTTTAAAAAGAATTCTACAAAATATTTTCTACAAAATATCTGATATCAAATAAGTTAAGCCAAGTGCTAATATATATACACAATTAAAAATATATTTAATTTTACCTTTTTTTAATAACAAAATAAAATATTCTAAAAGATATTAAAAAATGATTCTTAAAATTTAATTATATTTTTATATAATTTAATTTAACAATTCTAAAAAAATAAAAATATATCATAATAAATAAATCCAAAAAAAATAAAATTAATTATTTGTTCGCTCATTTGCTCGCTTCGCGTGCACTTGTCGCGAGACATTACCGTGTCTCTTGATGAGCGCTTATTTTCCAAAGGGAACATAAGTAAGCGCTTATTTGAAGCAATCTAATCTTCAATTTGAATTAGAATGTCAAACATGGCTTTACGGTTGCCCGGTGCGAAATGATTATTTTCGGGCCACTTTTTAGGCAACGATTGAAAAACATGAATTTTCTCAGGTGGCACGTCGAAAAATTCGATTTTATAAATTGCTGTGGCCGCTCTCAAGTTTCTTTCTGGCACCAGTTAGAAACATGAATGTTATTATATGTTATGTCATGATTATGATTTTATCGAAATTTTGATTTTCCGGGACAGAAGACTTAAATTCCTGGACACGGGACAAGCTTAAGAATTCCGGGACATTCCCGGAAATCCCGGCCATCTGGCAACCCTACATGGCTTTCTCAACGAGAATAATTTAACCAATCTTTATTTTCCATTTTTACGCGCTCATAAATTGCTTATGAAGGTCTTATTGCTTTTGATACGAGCGCTTAGAAATCACAGTAACCAGGCAAAATTAGCACTTATTACTTAGCGTAAACGCGTAAAAGCCAATCTACATAAGACGCAGGACGTGAGTTGCAGATCGCAGGTCGCAAAACCGGTTTGTTGTGTCTACGTAGTCTACATAAGTACGCAGCGAACACTCTCTCTCTGAGCCAGTGAAACAATAGAATGTCCTGCGTCATATGTATAATAGATTGGCCTTAACAAAATACATTCTGATTGGCTAGTCGCAAGACGCGGGACGCGGAAAATTAAAATTCGATTAATTTTTGTGCGTCCTGCGTATTGAAGTTTGCGACATGTAGCGGCTGGAAACACGTCACGCTGCGTCCAGTCTTGCGACCTTGCGATTCGCGTCCTGCGCCTTATAGGTGATCCTACAATACGTGTCGTAAGTTGTAAGCCGTAAGAATTGACGAATCACAGTCGATTATTACAAAGATAATCGGCTATAATTGGTCAGTTCTTACGGCTTACAACTTACGACACGTATTACAGAATGACCTTATGTAGATTGGCCTTAAAGTGTATAAACGTCCAAAAGATGCAAACGCATCCAGGAGCTAATATATTTCATTATGTTATGAGATTCGCTGTAGCGTTTTATAGCTTCAAGTGAACCAACTGTAGCACTACTATGTAGCGCTTAGAGCATTTGATAGTGCTTGCTGGACCGCACCCAGAGAGTCGTAGACTCCGTTGTCCAAACCTACCTGTAAGGGAAGATTCATACCTGAGCAGAAAAACAGAAAAGTCAAAACCGATCAGAACTCGCGCTTGTAGTCTATCTCTCTCTCTCTCTCTCTCTCTCTCTCTCTCTCTCTCTCTCTCTCTCTCTCTCTCAAGACCTCTGATTGGTTTTGCTTTTCTGCTCAGGTGTGAATCCTCCCTTACAGGTAGGTTTGGACAAAACGAAGTCCACGACTCCCTGGGTGCGGTTCAGCAAGCGCTGTCAAATACTTTAAACACCACGCTCCGAGAGAGAGTGCTCCAGAGGAGCGGGTCACAAGCGCTACAAGTGCTACAGTCACTATTTCTGCCAAGGTGTGAATCCTCTCTTAGGCAGGCCAAAAGAAAAAAGAAGAAAGTCATAGAGTCTTTTGCTCAATATGGACAAAGAGAGGCCTGTACACTAGGAAAAAGAATTTAGTATCTCTAACAAAACTGTTTAGTTGAGGCATTTTTTAATAGCAACCAAATATTTTGTTTTATATAACAAAATATTTAGTTGTCTCAACTAAATATATTTTTCTGCTTTGTTCTCTGGACCAAATGATTTTGTTCTTAGACGTCGTATATAAAAATTAAGCATTTTAGTTATTTTATCCATAAAAATTACATAATAACGAAATATTATTTTACATAAACTAAAATAATGCCCAATGGATACTATTTTGTCTTTCTGTGCACTAAAATTTAGATTTTATATATTAAGAAAAGATTATAGTATTTTTAACAAAATTCATATAGTCAAAGCTTTTTGGTTGCTATAACAAAAATATTACGTTATACGAACAAACCGAAATCAAACAAGATATTTGTTTACAGAAACTAAACAGTTTTGTTGGACATATTTTAACCAAATTTTGTTGTTGTTACAACAAAATTTTGGTTCACGCAACAATACACTTGTCCTAGTGTAGGGCCAAGAATGAGATTACGTAGCAACTCTCACCTGTAGGTACAGAAAAATGGTAGTTTTAATGTCTTCTTGACTTCAAAGAAGTCTCGCACGTCTCAGAAGTGGAATGAAAATGTGTAATAAGAAAACTGAACTTCCTTCTATCTTCAGTGTCCAAAACACCGAGATTGTCTGATTCGAGCTCTCCTGCGAAACTATAATATTGACTCTAGAAGAACTCCGTAGCGTATGCGCGTGCGTGTGCTTTCGCCTCTCTCTTGCGCCAGTACGCTTTGAATCAAGGTCTGTAAATAAAAGAACAGAAATAAATGGTCTGTTCTTTGTAGCTACACTGCTGAACTGGTGCAATAAACTAGAGTGAGAAAATCTATATTTATCTCACTTTAACTTATTGCACCAGTTCAACAGTGCAGCTACAAAGAACAGACCAAAAGTAAGGTCCTCTCACGGCCGCCAGTTTTGAGCCAGAGAATCTGTATTGGTGTACGTGATATTATGTACGTATAGTAATATGGTTTAGTTGTGTGATTGAACAAAGTAATCAAAACATAGTTTAAGATGTAATTAGAAGTAATCAAAACATAGTTTAAACACATTCCAAAATACCAATGAGAATTGTACAAAAAATTGCAGAAAACGAAAATAATTTTTGACATGACGGTATGTGGTTAATCAGCATCATGGGTCATGGTCGCCGCCGGGTTATTTTCGAGCCAAATCGTATGAAATGGATGAGAGGACCTAACCTTGTCCCGTTCCTCTATTAACGGACTTTACTCTGAACTACCTACCGACAGCCCGAAGCGCGCCTCTATCGGTCGTTCGCTTTGACATTTCCCCTACAACGGTAGATTGAAATAGAGTAAAATTATTCAGACATAAATTAACATTTTCTCATCTCCCATCAATTTTAGAAATCTTATTTACATAATGTGCCTCGCGTTGCTGCAACAAAACTCAAGAGAAATTATTATATGGACCGGCATTAGTTACGTGAAACGAAAGGCGACTCGAAGACGCGCGAACAACATTTATAATTCACTGACTTTATGTTTACAAGTAATGTTGTCGAAAATATATATTTACAGATAAAGTGACGAAACATTATTTTTTTCATTTTATTTAAATTTAGAATTTCGGAATTTTGAATATATTTTGAACAAGAAATATGAAAATGTGTTTAAGACATATTATATAAAACGTGGAAGGAAACATGTAATAAATACTGAAGAAAAATAGACGTATGTTGCAAACTTCTTATTGAAATTAGCTTATTAAAAGAACGTTATTATTAAAAGAACATGTCTTAAAACAATAGTAAAAAAGACATTAGTTTTCAAGCTGTGTAATCTTTGAAACACATACACATATTAAGTATGATTTTTCCTTTTACACATAATGTTTGAAATATAAGAATCTCGTTGACATAAAACGTTATTTACATGAGCGTTATATGAAAAATAACATTTTAATACATTCGTTACATAAACAACGGATGACGTCATCCAGATTACTTCAGATTTTACCTCGCTATAGCCTCGGAGATTAGCATATCGCAAGAAGAAAAATATATTGTACAATATATATTTATAATATATATAATATATTGTATATAATATGTTGTATATACAATACAAATAAGTATATAGCATCTCTCTCTCTCTCTCTCTCTCTCCCCCTCTCTCTACTGTTAAAATCCCGGACGTTCTTTCTTCCGAAGAACTTACTTTTGGTTACTTTCGGGAATTTGTTCGCTCACGAGATCGACATCCGCAGGGTGTCGAGCGGATTCGCTCAACGAGGGAAAGTCCGAGCATCTCTTGCCCGATCTCGAATCGAGTCACACGAGCTCGATTCTTTTTCGGGACTCTGTCTCTCATGCTGATCATACTGTAGGCCGCGCGCTTTTCTCGCATCTCTCGTAGAACCTCGCGGATCGGTCGCTTGCCCGCGGCGTGTCTCAGCTCATAGAGAAACACCATCGTCGATATAAGCAGGCCCATGACGAGCGTGCTGAATCCGGCGCCTAACGGCATCAATCCGAGAACCCGAGCGGTCCCGTCGTGACCGTCGTACTCCTTGTGAACCTCGCGCAGGTTGTAGCTCGCCCTACGACGGATGACATCGACCAGGTGGAAGTTCGTGATGCCCGTCTCCTTCAGCCACAGTATTATCTGCGAGGTAGCATAGGGTGGAAGGGTTAAGGGTCAAGCGTCTCGTTTTGTGATGAGAATTCGGGAGACCGAGTTCTTTCTCCGTAGAGGGACTGTGCGCGAACTTTTGTGAGACGTCCAGCCCAAGTCGACACACACCGGTGATCTGTTAACTACCGTTACTTCAATTTTCTCTCCTGTTTCTGCGCTGTTTTGAAAAAATTGCGTGTGTGACTATTAATGCAGACGTTTTCGACGAGCTTCGTGAAGCTGTGACGATCGCGACAAACGCGACGTGATTTCCGCATTCTTCACATCTTCCTATCTTCTTTTCTTTTTTTTTATTCCTTTCACCGGTGTTTCTTTTTTTTTTCTCGACAATCAAACTTCCGTGAATTGAACATTACGTGTCGGACTGAGGAGAAAAAGTTCGGTGCAATTTTTACTTTAAACATGTTCTTTCTTTCTCTCTAATCCAGCTTTCCGTACGCGCGCGTGAAACGTCCCGGAGCCGGATTCAGGGGCCGCCGGAGATTCCGACGCGTGTGAGGAACGCACGGAAATTACCATGTTGACGGGCCGCAGCAGCCACGGTTGGACGGCGAACGATGAGTAAAACTTTCCCACAGTTTGCTTCATGACCCTGTAACCCTTGCAAACGCGGACCGCGGTTTCTTTAATCCGATGCAGTGTGCGACACACCGGCAATATGTATATAATATATGCGCGGCATTTCGTCGCTCGCCTCGTGTGACTCACTTTGAGATCCTCGCTCCTGATATCATCTTCCGGAAAGAAGATCGAGCCCAAGATGTTACCGATGATCGCGTACTTGCCCCTGACGATCAACCGATGCGTTGTCTGATCGTCCGCCACTTGAATGTACCTTGACGGCAATTGGCTCGAGTAAGGATCCTGCAAGGAACATTGCATGTCCTTTTCGATTATGCTGGACTACGACGGTACGAGAAACGAGCGGATGCGAATGTGAGTTTAACGTACGTCCATGTCGAAGTAGTCGTGATAAGGCGGCACCTGCCCTTTCCGGCCCCACGATAGATTCGCCTCGAGGAACTGACGCACCGTGTCGACCCTGCAAAACAATCTCTCGCCTCGATTTGTCCCGAGGTCTTCCCTTCTCCATGTCTCGCTCCATGTCACAACGAATGACCGAGAACTCGACGAGGTTGTTAATCGAGAAGATGCATCACGAACGCATTGCGTAATAAAATCGCACCAATCGCGTGCATACGAGCAAATTAACATGTTGATTGCCACGCAACTTTTATGTTTCGCCCGGGGGCCACAGTGGAATTTTACTCAAGCATAAAAATAATATACAAATATTAAGTAATATGATTAAATATCATCAATCCTATCCTTATCAACAGCGCGTTTGTGCTCGCTGATGGTTACCCGTCATCACCATGGCTCTACAGTGTACGTCATTACATTCAAAAAGCAGGAAGGCCGAGCGTATCCAGCGCGAAAATATATTACAAGACAAATATTGCAGATTTCAGTACGCAAAATGCGAAAAATTGCGTAAAAAAGGTAACTGCATGCTGCAAAGATTGCGATGGTCAATCCCATCTCTGTTTGTTTCTGCTAAAATGTTTCGATACGATACGCTGTAGTGTTTAATTTTTTTTTTCTTTATAAAATATCATGTTCTACCAGAAAAGTTTTTAATTTTCGAGTAACACAATAATTTTTTATTTCGCAGTGTTAGCTAGTTACGACTTACGTCGTTGAAAACTTTTTAGTCGATGTTATTCGTCTTATTTTGATCATTCCAAGAAGTTTCAGCGATGTTAGTCACGGTTAACCTGCCGTGGCAGTCAACATGTTAATATCACATGCAAATACGATGATTCGTTCATAAAGACATATGAAACACGAGGCATTATTACGACTCCACCGTGGAAATAATGTATTCGCTTGTTGTTTTCGCCTCTTCACTTTTTCCGCTGAGATTGCGCTGAGAAATTTGCAAACAGTGATGACGATCGTTCGGGCTTGATCGCGGACGAAATGTAAAACACACGATCTCCACCTGACTTCGTACTCCCAGCTGGCGAGTCGCGCCGCGAGGCTGCTGCAGTAAGCGGTCACCAGAACGACTCCTACCGTCTGCCATAAGTGCAGCTCGAGTCGGGCGTTCGCAGTGTTCATGGGCACCCATGTGCCCAACAGGCGGCCCATTAATTCCGTGATCGTGGACAGAAAGCTGCGGAAACCTATCGAAACGCGAAAACCTATTGAACGTCACTTTACGTCTGCGACACTAATATCGGTTCCGCTCGTTCGCGATCACCTCGTATGACTGATCTCATCTATATAGTCATGGTCATAATTTTAACATATAATTGAACTTCCCCCGCAGTTCAAATCCAATGTTCACGGAAATGTAAACGTATACAAGGAAAACAAGAAAAAACATACGAGAGCACACATGGTTCTCGCGGAATTATTGGGTTGGCAACTAAGTGATTGCGGATTTTAAATAAGAATGAAAATTCAAAATTTTTAATTTGCTTTTTTAAATTTTTTTCAATGCATGTATGCGATACATTGAGCTTCTCTGCAATATCACGTGTTGTGCTATGACGATCTGAATCGATAATGGCCTTGATATGGGTCTCATCGACTTCAACTGGACGGCCAGATCGTTGAGCATTTTTCAATGAAAAATCACCAGAACGAAATCTGGCAAACCAATTTTGACACTGCCTTTCTTTCAAGGCTTTTTCCCATATATGGCACGTAACCTCTTGTGTGCTTGCGATGCGTTCTTGCCTTTTCGGAAATAATACAATAAAATATGTCTGAAGTGCACGTCTTGCTCTTCCATTTTTAAATTGGGATAAAAACAAAACTAAACAACTAATCGATATAATTTTTGTACTAAATGAAAGGTAGAAGTCCAAACAATAAGAAAAAAATATAGGTTAGGTATTTTGAACACGTTAACGAAACAAAAGAAAGTGTAAAATCCATCTGTCGACAAAATCCGCAATCACTTAGTTGCCAACCCAATATTAGCACACACACACACACACACACTCACTCACAAAGCAGCATTTACAGCGAGGGCCGGTTTTTATCAAGCGGATCTACACGAACGAAGCATCGGGGAAGCATGACAGTCATACAATTTTGTTCGGCGCAATTTGCGGATCTTTTAGGGGGTACAACCCTAATGGTCTATATTTGTAAGAGAGGAAGGGAAAAAAAATGAAACAGGAGGTTCCACGTATCGACCGTGCTCGATCGTCGAGCGGATATCGCCGGGCGGTGGATGCATCACTCTGCGGACTCACGTTTCGGAAAATGCGGATCGATCCTGGCGCGCGTGCACATGTAAGCGCTGTTGAGCAGCAGCACAAGCACGAGAAGTATCCAGACTTCCAGCGGGAAAGGCCTCGTGAGCGCCCAGAAACTCGTGATCGGCTGTGGCCGCGGCACCAGGAAACGTATGAACAATTGAAACCAGGGCTCCGACAAGTTTGCGAAAGCGTTGTGATCCTCCGATAGCCAGATGCTCGCGAATGCCATGTCGATCTACGTGTATACGAGGCGGTGTAAACTAGCGATAAATAAATATTTCGATGATCTCTGGCGTGTCAATCGGATCTAATGCTACACCGTTCAAAAGGGGATGAAATTTGCAGTTTCAAGGAATTCCAATTCATCTCGTCAAATCTGTCTCAATGGTTTACGAAAGTTCGTCAGATTGCCGATAATCATTGTGATCGTAGAGTCGATCGATCAGCGATAACCAATTTCAATTTTGGTCGAAACAAATTAATGAAGATTAACGACCAATGAGATTTGTGGTCGTAATTAGGTTAGCCACAGCTGTTGATTTTGAATGACTCGCTAAAAATAGGTCGCTTTGCAAGGGCGGCAATGAAATATGGTAAATAACAATTGCTCCGTTGCTACCACTAGGAGAGAAATATCGCTCGAGAGATCCGACGAATTTTCACGACGAATTGAATTAATACCGCTCTCTGCATTGGAACTTTTCCCGCTCGTTCATTCTACCTTTCTCTCTCGCAAAAGTTCAATTACGCCACCGTGCCATTGCGTTCCGTTCCGTCGGCCGTACCTGAAAGTTGTCTCATTTTTAAATCTCAAAGTCACTTCATTTTTTAATCTGAAGATTGTTTCTTTGGATATGAAATATTGAGGCGATTAAAATATTACGACATGCTGAGATAAACCTGTAGCTCCCTCCTGGCTTTCGTATTGTCCAAGTGAAGTTCAATTTTTCCGCAAGGAGCAGAAATATCTTAACCTCTATCCCGTCTTTCTCCATGTCTGCGAATATACAAACGACTCGTCATGTCAATCATTTCGTTCATTCTTTCTCTTCGGTACGTGGGATATTTTCTTTTCTTTCTCTAAGATTGTGTATTAATCGATATTTTTCTTTTATATTCTTGATATCACTTGATATTATGTGCTTTTTATATGCCTTTGAGATCATTGATTGATCGGCGAGTAAGCTGTGAAAAGTGATTTAATTGAACGTTCAAGCGACCCGACTTACCGTTATTCACTAGAAATATCTCCTCCTCAGTACCGTTTATTACTTTCTTCGTCGCCGTTTTAAGATAAGAAACGGGCGGCCGATAAAACGAACACACTCGCAGCTCTCTGCCCTTCATATTAATCATGTCGAATTCATTTTTCAGCTCCTTGTAACTGCGAATGTACACACACACACACACACACACACACATACGTGAATACACATAGAACATGAAATTAACAGCTTCGAAATTCATGGAAGGTACGTAATATTTGCTAAACTGATTAAAAAATCAACCACGTCACCCGTCACGTAGCTACTACATCTTACTTCGACGATGACGAAGCGATGCATTTGCATGCGTCCCGATAAATACGCCCCGATGTGTCTTCAACGTCGAGAAGACGTTGAAAATCCGATCGCGAAGACTGTCACCGCGTACCTGTCGACTTTCACGAACAGTCGGGGCTCCAAGTAATTCTCCGACAAGGTCCAAATGCCGGATCGCGACACGATGTTCGCGTTGGCACTTCCATACAGAGCGACGTTGAAGATCCTCGAGTCGTTCTTCAGTTCACCATCCACGATAATGAGGATCTCCGTGGTCGAAATGGTCGAGGGTACTCTGCGGGTCGAACAAACACAATCGCGTTTCAGCCGCGCGGTAAGAGAATTCGCTCGCTCGATCGCTCATTGTTCCGCGCAATCGAAACGACCGTGCATGACTCTGTCATCGTCTGCCGATTTATCGAGATTGTGAGTTCGCTCATTACTTGTCCATCGCTTCCTCTATCTCTGTGTCCGTCGGGCTCAGTAAGAAGTAACCCTGGCACTCGTAAATCCTTTTGCGCAGCAGGTAATCGTACCGATACGTCTCTCTAAATTGATTGAACAACATCTCCACGCTGTGGATCGCTTCTGAAACGCAAAAACAGTCCGGTCAAAGCAGACCAAGTTAGAGACGAGCGATATGTGTGTGTGCGTGTGTATAGTAGTGCACCGACTGCTCAGATAAATGTTGCAGCACTTGGAGTAACGAAAAGACTTGTCGATCATCGTCGTAAAGTCCCCCGGCGATATCCAGGACTCCATTCTCGCGATCGTCATGATGTGCTCCTTGCCGGCCAACACTTGGCCGATGACGAGCAACGAAATACCGAATACCGAGTCAGCTCTCATGATGCGCTTTCATCTCTACGCTACTCGCGTGCCCCGGCTAATAACCTGCCTGTCCGTTACTACTCGCAAGTTTCTCCATTCAAAAGCCGCGAGTTCGCGAATCTCCCGCGCGCTTAACGTCTCTCGGAGTGGAACGTGATTTTTCTCGCCGATCACTCTTGCTCCCGAAACTTGGCCGAGTGAAATTCCACTCGGGGAAGTGGAATAGAGACCGAACGAGGAAGAAAGAAGGCAAAAAGTTATCAGATAAGATCTACTATTATCAGATAAGATCAGATAAAGTCTCGTCTCGTCGAAGGAACACCTTGCGCGAACGTGTCATCAGAATAGTCACAGTCTCGCAATTCCGAGTGACCGAGTGATCTCCACCTTCGGCCGAGTGTCAGCGAGATCTCGAGCGAGAAGGATCTCTACTCGAAGAAATGTCGAAATTTCGAGAGCGGCGCGAATGAGACCTCCTCTCTCCCGTTCGCGGGCGCATCGATAGTCGATACGCAACGTAACGCGAAACAAAGAGCGCGCGCGACGTGACGGGGATCGCCGTTCGGGTCGCGCCGACGAGCACCGTCCGGAGCACCGAAATCCGAAGCCGCGAGAACCCGGAAATTCCCCTCGGCGATCGTTGCAGTCGGGGGAAACGGCGAGCGCAGAATGTGCCCGCGAATACGCCCGACCTGAGAATGGAGGGCCGACCTGGCTTTCACCTTGAGCCGCCGGAGTGGGATCGGACGGCGAGCGAGCAGCGCATCGAGTCATGCCGTGTGTATGCACAGTCCACGTGGTCGCTCGCTCGCGTTTGTATTGTAGCCGGGGATACGAATACTCGGGGCTGCAGTTTGACAGCAGATAACTGCCTCGATAGCGTAGACCCTGAATAAACACGGAATTATCGGCGACATTTGTGGCTGACACGGATGTAATTATGCGGAGGGGGGGGGGGTGTACGAAACGAAAGTGTAATTGCGCGATTCGCAAGCGAGCGTGCGACGAGCTTAATTGGTGAGCGTTGAAAAATTAATCGACCGGACGGCACGGCATTGTGACGGCAGTAAGGGGCACGCCGCAGGACGAGGCTAAACACACGAGGTGAATTCATTATTGTTATCTCCGGCGCCGTACCAACAATGTCTTCGCTAGAGCGAGCGCTCGTCCTTCATCGTATCGATTCCCGTATGGAGATCATTCGATGTGACGTTGTACGTTTACGGCGATGAGCAATGGGCGATACGCAACGCGACACGCGACTGTCTAATAGACTGTCGTGTGTGTGTGTGTGTGTGTGTGTATTTATTATTTCGCTGTAATCTCGCTTGTAATCACATGTTTTTATGATGATGCCGCTTAGCAGAATAGCAGCTCGGATTCCATCGCCAGTTTCAGAGATTCAGGCACGAGAGATTGCCGCTCGCGTATATTCTTCACATTTACATATTTGTATTCGCACATTTACACAATAACGTGATGTTTCGACGTCACCGACGTGACTGATTCGGGTTTTCCTGAAAAAAACACTTCCTTGAAGTTTCGGACACCTTGCTGGATATGTAACGTAGACACGCTTCGTTGATTGAGAGCGTCGATAAAACACGTAGTTTTATTTATGTGCCTCTCGGGAATTTATGAGAACCGACGCAACACGCTCTTCGTCCTTTCCGTTCTCGCTACGTTTCACGTAACGCGGGATGCGCGTTTACGTGCTTGATGTGTCGTGACATTTGTACAAGCCGCGAAAAGGGGGAAATTATACGCGATGTTAACGGATCCCTATAACAGGACCGTGAAATAATCGGTTATAGCGATGGAGAGCGCAGATAGCACGCGACACGTTACGTTGTCTATTAGTCGCATTTACGCGCGTCTAAGAAGCAACTCGACGGACATGTCACGTGAATATTAACGTAACATCAACCGCGCGCATCTACTGGCAATTCTATCTCTCGGACGGCAAGTTTTGCGAGTAAAACAATAACGTGGTATCGCGATTAACGCACCGCAGTGCGTTGCCGCAGCGTGTCTCCAACCACCGTCTTATCGACGGCGATATCAACGGTAGGAGATAATGACTTTAAGAATCAGGTCTATTCATCGGTCACGATTCATCAGGTCACGATTAGTAAGTTATTTATGTTATACGAAGAGGGATTTGGAAGAGCCAATTTTTCGTGTTAGTCTCGTACGTTGTCTCTATATAGATATTTACCGTAGTGGATATAATTCCTACCTCGACACAATTTATGCGTACATTGTGGACGTTCGCATATGTTAAGATCATCGCGTCATTTTTTATCAAACTATTCAAAGTAAGTCTTTTGATAAATATGCAGATTTTTTGGTAAATTATTTGGTAAATATGCAGATTATTGATGCCATCACTGATACATCTCTGATCTTCACCTGTGTTGACTAGGACATGATCCTGAGTCACTTTTCAAATAGCAGGCACGCTCGTGAAGAAGTTGAATGAACAAAGAAAGTTCAAAGGAATGAACGGACTGTATTAGAATTTTATTCTAGAATGTACATTCTATCATTAATATAGTTTTGTATATCCCGAAACATTTATTCATACTTTTGTCGGTAACTTTTGAACGAACAATAAACGTCGACTATGATCTTTTGGAGATTATTTTCTCTCTCAGAGCGCCATGTTGACGACTTGTGTGATAATTAGATATATCGGAAGTGGCATCAATAATTCGCACATATTTACATTTTTTTCTCAATTACGAATTGATAAATTTTATGGCGCTTCCAACGAGGAAGAGGTTCGAAGTCGCACAAACGTAATTTAAATTGCCCGCGCTTAAAAAGGTATTATTAATTCTTATCGGTCTCTTATGCAACTGGCCTTGGATAACCATTAAGGAATAGTTCTCGCACATAAGATGTCGCTGCTTTCCATCATGCTTTCTTATATTCGCTAGAGATTATCAGTGCTCGATATTTGCTTTCGACAAATTACAGATCGTTCATTTCCTCTCTTTTGGCTTCTCGGGAGAATTATTTGACGGCGACGAGTTGGACTTGCATCGAATTTCATCGTTATCCGGCGTAGTGACACGTGCTGCTTCACAATATTGTGCCCGTCCACGTGGAGATATTCAAATCCGACTGCCGCTATAATTAGCATTCCATTTTACGAGTCACCAACACCATACGAACCGGCGCCCGGAATATTCCACTGTGTGTTCGCATCATCAGTGAACGTCAGCTCGACCACGAGATGGGTGTCTTCGCAGCGTCCGTGAGACTCTCCTCCAGTTTCATGACCGTAGCAACAGGTAAACACCGTTTGTATTTGTATTTTTTGCACGGTAAAGAAATTAAATATTAATTTCGTTTGAAGGTTTGGTCATGCTCTCTTTATGAGCAATATTGTGACGTTGTACGAACGAGTAATCCGAGGACATTCACTCGGCCCATTGAATGACTCAGTATCAATTAAATATAATATTCTGGGTCGGCAAGATAAAAATCTTACTAGTTTACTAACGGTAAAGTAAATCAAGCATGCATGCGCATAGCATTATTAATCTTTTCCTCTCCCCGTTATCGATTGATATGTCAACAGAGCCTTATTCGCTTTAACTACAGTAATCGGAAAACTGTCGCATGTGTTTGTCCGCACTGGAAAACTTTTATTTTTATACAACAATCTTCTTGTTTTACCGCTTTATATCAAGTTTATTATTGCGTATCATATCGACCTCTTTAATGTTATTAACGTATATAACGAGTGGAAAAATTCTGTTTTCTTTTTTTTTTAGGAGCGAGATGTTATTCGAAAATTGGCTTTGTCGGACTAGGCAACATGGGCTGTCACATGGCGAGAAATCTGTTGACGAAGGTAAGACAGTAATTTAATCCTTTATATCCTGAATTAATTTGCCTAAGACCTTCTTATTAAATTTTTATGTAATTAAATAGCTTTTGTCATATTATAAGGAATAGAAAGATAAATATTATAACAATTTAATGATTTTAAAATGATATTTGTAAATACCGACAGAAATGTAGGGTAAGACACAGAAAAACAAGTTCAAAAACATATGAGCGTTTATATAGGACGATACTATACGGAACTTTTAAGTACCGTCAGGATATAAAGAGTTAAATGTTTCGCTTGAGAGAGAGAGAGAGAGATTACCATCGACAAATATTCAACGGTATTTTCGCACGTACAACTATCTTATCTCTTTATCGTTAGGGTTATAAACTCAGCGTGTACGACGTGAACAAATCAGCGATAACGGGTCTGGTAGAAAAAGGTGCGAGTGATGCGTCGAGCGCCGCCGAGGTGTCGAAAGAAGTCGAGGTCATTGTCTCGATGTTGCCTTCAAATCAACACGTTCTCGATGTCTATACCGGCGAACACGGTGTACTAAGGTGAAAACAATTCCTGTGACTTTTGTTTTTATCAGCACTGAGCCTATTTGGAAAATGACGATTTATTTCCAGCGCAGCGAAGGAGAACACTTTGTTGATCGACAGTAGCACTGTGGACCCGTCGATATCGCAGTCGGTTGCTACGGAGGCTCAACGACGTAATCTGAGATTCATCGACAGTCCTGTGTCGGGAGGTACACACAACATGTTCATCTCCCACATTAGTAGAAAATTAATGGAATATTTAGTTGAAAAGTTATATTATTAATATCAATAGGCGTTTGTAGTGTTAACGCGTCCGGCAAGTTCTCTGAGAATAATCGTAAATATGTATGTTAACAATATCTGTTCGCTGACTCCGTCAGGTGTAAACGCGGCTAAAAATGGCACGTTGACGTTCATGGTTGGCGGCACGAAAACGGACTTCGACGCCGCCAAGCCCGTACTCGAAGCTATGGGATCGAGGATAGTGCACTGCGGCGACGTGGGCATGGGCCAAGCAGCCAAGCTGTGCAACAATATGCTGTTGGCGATCAGCATGATCGGCACTGCGGAAACGTTCAACCTCGGACAAAAGTGAGGGAGATGCGTTTCGTTATTGATTTGGAGATATCGGAAGAAAAAAGTATATACATATACTATTCGTAACGGATCGTATTTGTTTTTCAGATTGGGCTTAGACGCGAAATTATTAGCGGATATCATAAATTCCAGTTCGGGCAGGTGCTGGTCCTCCGACCTCTATAATCCGGTCCCCGGAATTCTGCCTGACGTTCCTAGCTCGAAAAATTACGAGGTAATCACATAGGTCGGAAATTTATTGTGATTTAATTTTTTTTTTTACTCGATTGCGAATTTACGCAAGACGAAATGGAGTCAGAATACTCGGAATAGCAGAATCGTACGCGTTATTTGATGAAATTTTCAACTGTGAAGTTGATAATCGCTGCGACTCACTTAGAAAATAATTAATTTCGCAACGGAAGGAAAGTAATCATCAATACATACTAAGGTTAAGACTAAGATTAATTTTTATTCACTTTTAACTGCAGGGTGGATTCGGCACGACGTTGATGGCTAAAGATCTGGGACTAGCGCAGTCCGCTGCGACGAGAACACAGACTCCAATTCCGCTCGGCTCTCTGGCGCATCAGATTTACCGAGCGGCCATTGCACAGGGATTCTCGAACAAGGACTTTAGCGTAATTTATCAGTTTCTTAAAGGTAAAAGTTGAAATACAAGACGAATTTATTTGATAAATATTCAATTTATGTTTCCTAAAACCATATCCTATCTGCGAAAGAATGAGCGAATTTTATATCAGGAAGATTTTGCTAAAATAAATACTTATTTTGTTTATTGTTAATTTATCAATTAGTAAATACCTCCTACCTTGACCCATATTTGTAGAGATTTGTACGGGTCGCGTTTACTTCATTATATTTAAAAATATAATTATATTTATATTATATATTCAATTTTATTACATTATATTTTAATTATATTATTATATTTAAAAATAAGAAATAAATAAATAAGAATAATAAATGAGATCGCGGAGCGACGTCGTTGGTGCGAGATCGGTGAAACAAGTGAGACGCAACAAACAACAAACTTATTATAGTAACAATATATTTATACGATATTTTTGTATCGTTAGTTGTATCGTATAAATATACCGCCATGGTAATCGAAATATAATATGGTATAAATGTTCTCATTATCTTCAGCGTAACTAAGACAGTCGGTATTGTCGTTTATCAATTACCGCCGGATCCCTCGGGTCCTCCTTGACAATACGAAAATTTATCTAGGGCTTGACAGCGGAGAGAAACCTGAAAGCGGCCAACACGGCATTTTCTGCGACACCGACTTTCCGGAAAGGACGCCATCTGCATCCATTTTGAGAAGGGAACTACGATGTTACATCCACTTTCAGGTCTCGGCGGTAAAATCTGCATGTGGTGGAAGTCCGTGCTATATCCACTTTCAGGTGGTTTATGTCCGTGCTGCAACCACAGCTGCCATCTTTATGCTGGACTATGCCCGGAGGGCTAAAAAGAGTGGGGGTGGAGAAGCAGGAAAAATAAAAGTACGTATTAAATATTAAATCTTCGAATACATGTTGCCGTATCACAGTCTCCTGTATAATAAACGATTTGACACGTCTGGAGACACATGATGTTATCGTTGCCCGTGTCCCGTTCCCTTCGTCCTGCTTTTCGCATTCGGCATCCCGTCCGCTCCGGACATTCGCTCGTGGCACTGACAGTGGCCGTCGGTGAGCATTCGATCCGCTCGGAGGAGCACGTGTTAATTAACGCGACGTGCCTCCGATTATAAATACCCCGCGAGTCGACGAAATATCTGAACTTTTAAAAAAAGCCTCAAAGAAAATAACGTTGATGTTGTCATGGGTGAAATCTCACCCTGGTATATATTTTTTTATTTTCGAAATAAAAAAAGCCAAACGGATGCAGTTAAATGTGTATTTATCATCATTGAATATTAGATGAAAAGTAAAAGAGTTATCGTCCGGAGCGGATAATCTAACATTTAATAAGAACGAGACCAAATTCGCATGGGATGAAATTCCATTCTTTAACGCTACCATGACCTTTAATTATTCTCCGAAAACGGCGTCACAACAAGTTTGATACTCTGTACAATTAGTTCCTAGCTCATTTTCGAATCGTACACATTCCTCTTTAATTAACATAAAGCTAACATATGTCCGATGCTTCGACAGAGTAATTATCTTTATTTTCAATAATCAATAAATAGAGTAAATCAATGTCGCGTACAGTTGAAAGGCCCCTTCGCATTCCCCTTTCGGAACCTTCGAGAAAAGAAGAGACGCCCAAGGGCAAGTCTCTCTTGCTTCAACCGCCGCCGAGGCTCGCAATGTTTACATCGCGGGCCGATTGTGTTGATCGGCTCGCGAGCGACGATACTTTTTGCCCTTCGTATTATAATACTCGCGCACCTCGTGTATACGACCTCATTCCATCAACAGCAGCCGTGCGCGACGCGCTCGTCACTTCCGTCTCGTGTTGAATTGAAAGAAATGTATCTCATCGTTCCTCGAGATACTCAATCGGTCGGCATCGCGTTGATTAACCGCACGGTCGAATCGCGAGTATCGGCATTAGAAGCGTGAGCGAGTGAAATCCGATGGACTCCAGCAGCCGGGAAACAGGACGCCGGCAGCAATACGTCACGTTTCCAGGTATGTGGAATCATTTATTATGCGGGAGGTCTCCGATAACGAGAGCGGACGTTTGACGAATTTTCCGGGAATAAGAAGTCGGAATTTCGCGCTCGGCATTCACAATCCGTCATCATCCGACTAGTAATCATCACTTTATGAATTTGCAATTACTCTCGTCAATCTCTGTCTGTCTATCTATTTATTGCGTTGTCGTATACAAAAGATATTGATCCAGACAGAGACGGATAACGGTCCATGAACGCGGATCTCTAATTCTTCATGTTCGCAATCAACTCAAACATTCTGAATAATTCCCAACTGTATGAGTATACCGGTCTTGTGTAGAATATTCGACGTCATACCTTCTTCTTAGACTGCGACCTTTTTTGTTTTCGGTCAGCGCTTCTTTCAAGTCTGTTTACTTTCGTTACGGGATTTCCAAATTTAAATATCCATTCGTAAAAGAGTATTTCCGAGAGTACACAACTGTTGTCTCCGCTTCTTGTTGTCATTTTTTTTCGTCAGCTCTTTCAAGAGCTCCTATCTAGACCTTCAATGTCAATGAAGAAAAGAAATCGTAGCGAATATTCTCCATTCATCCCGACCAAACATTTTTTCTCTACCGCAGCTTACCAATCAAGAACACTAAATTTTTGTTCCAGACGTTGCGGGAAGCAAGTCCGGCGGATGCGGATGCCGTACCGGAGGATCCGGTTCGGCATCCGCAGGGTCGGCCGGAAGGTAAAGTTTACAAGTTTCCTACACATCTGTGTTCAACTCTTTACGATCTTTGCCTGTGCAACTTGTTCCTCATCAGCTCTCTCGAAAGTTTCATGTTTCATTTAAATTTTCAATATTGGAACAAAAATATACAGATAAAAATTCCGTATCAAAATATTTCCGTATTTTCGATTCGTCCCGATCAAAGATATTCTCTCTCTACCACAGATTATTAACTGGGAAAACTACTTTTCTGTTTCAGTTATTGCGGAAAGCAACAACAATCCGGCAAATGCAGATGCTGTACCGGAGGATCCGGTTCGGGCCAAGCAGAGTCGGTCGGAAGGTAAAGTTTACAAGTTTCCTACACATCTGTGTTCAATCCTTTACGATCTTTGCCTTTGTAACTTGTTCCTCATCAGTTCTCTTGAAAGCTCCAAGTCCCATTTAAATTTTCAATGTTGGAACCAAAATATAAAGATAAAAATTCCGTATCAAAATATTTCCGTATTTTCGATTCGTCCCGATCAAAGATATTCTCTTTCTACCGCAGGTTATCAACCGGGAAAATTAATTTTCTGTTTCAGTTGTTGCGGAAAGCAACAGCAATCTGGCGGACGCGAATGCCGCATCGGAGGATCCGATTCGGGCCAAGCAGAGCCGGTTTGAAGGTAAGTTTACAAGTTTACTATAGTCCTCTGTTTGATCCTTGGCGATCTAGAGCTGAGATATTATTTTCGGCTCGACTTGAATTACGATCGCAGAGGATAAACTACTCTTTTACTCATCCGCACTTGGTGGTCAAATCTGATGAGCGAATGTGAATTTTTTGTTACAGAGTTGAAGCGGAACGTGGCCGGCTCTGACTGCAAGTCGTTTCGGTGAGTAAAAATGAAAAGAGAAACAATATTCTGCATGACGGATATAGGTCTAAAAATATCGTTCGAGTCAATGCAAATTGCAAATAGATTCTTGCATGTGTGTGTTTGTGACGTTGAATAAAAGACATTGCTCGAAACAATCAGGGGATTACTTGATCAATAGCCTACATTATATACGAGATTTAAGATACCGAATGATTTTCTTTTGATGTTCATTTGAATAGATATTCGTGTCTACAAACGCGATACCGTCATCAGCTGCTTTATTTTCATTTTTCAAGCGGGCCGCTGAAATATTTAACGACAATTATTTGACAATATTCAATTGTCCGCGTAAAATATTTTCATACGCATAAATGCCGATACCGTTGGCTACTTTTCTTTTATTTCCTTAAAACAGGCTGTAAAATTATTTGGCAATATTCATTACAATCCCTATTGTCTCGAGTAGCGTATAATGCGCCAAAAATTGCGCCAGCGCACGCCAAGCTTGAGGTATCCTCGCTCGCGTGCCTTTGAATATCGCGACCGCGGTTATCAATACGCGTTTTAACCCGCGCTGCTAACAAAGAAAACTTAAATTCTCATTTCGCCAAAGTATCGCGAACGTAAGCTTCGTCGTGACAGAACTATCATGCATGAAAACTTTGCCCCGCTCTCTCTCTCTCTCTCTCTCTCTCTCTCTCTCTCTCTCTTTGCGCTCTCTCGAAGAGACCGGTTTCTGATTGTCTAATCTTTCCTCTCATGCATTCGCGAATATTCTCGTAGATATCGATACTCCCGCATTTTCGCGACTTTTCAGACGCGATCGCGAAAAGCGCCGTAAAAATCTGTTGGACGAGTCGATAAATTTTCACACGGTTCTTGCTCCTAGCTGATCGAGTTTATAGAGTCCGTTTCGCAGCGCGTAAAAAGTTTCCAACGATGTCGACGTAAAACATTCGTTAATTGACGCAAATGTCGCCGCTCTCATACAAGTATCGACCGCGTCGTGGAAGTGTGGCGAAAGTGTAGCAATCAACGTGGGACGCGCTGCAAGATGGATGCTGCGCGACATGCGGAGAGCGGCAGCTTGGGCGGACATGGGCGGACATTGGTGGATCTGGTTGGATGCAACGGGACATCATCAATATCATCATCGGTGAGCGTTTGACTCAATGCTCGCAGAGAGCTCTTTTATTATTACATTGTGCATGTCGCAAATTTGCATTGACTTTTGTAACGACAAATATATTCCTTGAATTATTGCCATATATAATGGCCATATATTATTGCCATATATTGTTGCCATATATTGTTGCCGTATATTGTTGCTATACATTATTGCCATATGTTGTTGCCATATATTATTGCCACATATTGCTATGTATTATCGCCATATTATGGCCACCTGAAATCGCGCGAGCAATCGAGAAAACTGTGAATTTGCCGATAATCGCAAAGGCGCGCGGCAGATGTCACGGACGGATGACAGCAGCCCGTCTCAGGGCTACCCGATAACAATACCGTTGCTGCAATTTAACTTTAAACCACAGCGGCCTCCGGTCGCTTTCT